TTCAAAAAAACAAGGAAATAGATGTTCAGAGAGGCTACAAGGCTGATCCAAAGGTACATAGTTAGGAAGTTAGTAGAGCTGATATTCCTAAAAGAACCTCTGACTGACGCTAAAGCATGTCAATTCCTAGACTTAAGAGATAAAATGTCACAATTTTCATGAATCTGAAAGATTACCAAATTTTCAGGTGGAAAATTTGTTCTAGAACCACAGAAACTTATCAGTGAGCAGAAGAACTTCCTTTTTATCTTATTCGATTTTTGAATTATACTTCTATAAAGAATTCTCTTATCCTTCTGCAGCAACCTAAAAAGTAATTTTCAGTATCTCAACAGCTATTAACAGCTACTTCTCACAGCATTAATACTATAAAATTAAATTTCTAAGTAGAAGATTCAAGTACCATAAACATAGAAGAGGGTAACCAAGCATAATCTATAAATAGTTCTTGTGAGATTCCAGATTACCTGCCTGGCATAAATCTCTCCTTAATATACCTAAAACATCCTCCCGCTCAAAGATGTACATACTCATTGTTCTAAAAGATAGCTCACATTAAACTCATTAAGCAGCATCCCTTCTAAAGGAATGAATATTGCCTAATGGTTTGGGTAGATGGAATTACATTTTGGAACATGATTTGAGAACTTGATTCATGGAAATTTTGGTCTTCGTTAGTGAAACCTGGAATATTGGAGACTTCTGATAGAGATTCCAGGAGTACCCCTGACCGCATGCTGGAATATACATATGCATCATCTTTTAGTATCTGTTAACTAAAGTTTGAAACTTACGAGATTCGTTCCAACCAGCAAAAAGTAAAGTTCCATTATCATCTTTACTCTTTTCCCCACACATAAGAGCTATAGGAAATATAGGAGAGAAAAAGCTGTTATCTTTTCCTTACCCATTGCCAGGTTCATGGCTCAGACCCCTGCAACACAATACAGATTAACAAGAGAAAAGCCTAACAAATGTATTTAATATAAGTTTTATGTGCCATGGGAGCCTTCTGAAATAAAGACTCAAAGAAACAGGAGACAAAACTGTGTATTTTTATGGACAGTTATGCAGAAGGATGATTGGAAGATAAAAGAGTATGACTTGATGATAATGAATTGGGGAAAACTTGACAAGGCCCATGTGTTCAGATTCTTCTTGGCACATGCGCATAGGGCAGAATTCCTCTGGAATGAGGGCCTTATGACCTATTTGCAGGGGAAGTATGTCAGAGAATTCTTTTATGGTGCACTTGAGGGAAGACAAATGGAAGAAGGTCAGAGAGTGATTTTCCTGCTTCTGTACTTTTCTCAGTTTCCTTCACCTTAAAATACTCAGTATGCAGAGCTAGCATATTTGGGGGTAGCGTGCCCTGAAACCTATCATAACCAATGATAAAATCCAAGTCCTCACAAAGCTTACTGTCTCAAAGAACTAGAGAAAAGACAGAGGTACAGGTGCATAACCAAACAAATAAAAGACAATGAAGAATGCCTTGACAGAAATCAAATCATACACTAGGTTGGAGAATATGGGCTTTAAGAGAGCTACTTCAGAAGAAGGGTCAGGGAGGCTGTCTGGATCTGTATGGTTGAAGATGAAAGAAAAAGATTATTTCTCAGGCCTGCAGGACATCAAATTGCTGTAATAATCACCTTGTGGATGGCAGGGTTCTACTACTTTTAAACCCAAAAAGGAGAGTTAATAATCAATTGTGAAATAAGAGGTCACTTTTTTACTTCAATATTTCCCTTTCCTGACTACAAGTGCCTTACTGACTAAACGTGGCCACTCTTGTTCTTTGCAGAGCAGAATTTAAAGCCCCTGAAACAAAAAAACCCTACAGTGGTATCATGTTCAAGAGGCTAACTCAGTGGTGCACCTTCATTAACAATAACAACAGTTGCTTCAGGGGAAAAGACCATTACTGGGCTTATTGCTATTACCACTCAGCATGAGACAAAAATGGTTGAGGACCCAGGGATCAGGCAGAATATCAAGAATGAGACACAGAGGCAAAGATGAAGAGAAACAGTCACTGTGCTTTCCATGGCAGGTTGTCAAATGCTGCCTTAAAATGTGCAACTGTGAATTTCAAAATATGAAATGCTCAGAGTCTTGATGTGCAGTTTTTACAACCGGACAGCGGAATATTAAAGATGCTGCTTTGTCCCCTAGAGGGGCTGGCTACTGCAAGACCAGCTGCCAGGGGTCATAACTATGTGGCCATTGCCACTTACTATTTTATCATCATATGATACTGAGGCTGGTAAATATCTCTCATGGGATGTGCTTGTTAATAATGAAGATTCCCAGTCCCCAACCACAATATTCTAAATAAGGAGATTTAGAATAAGAACTGAGAATCAACTTTTTGTTGTTGTTAACTGATATCAAAATTAATTTTCATGCAGGTGATAGAAAGATCACATTTTGAAAAACAGATGTGACAGCTCTAGATACGGATACTTCGTCTAAAAGGACAGTTTTGGAACCTTCATTGTTCACTGGGAGTGTGTGTGTGTGTGTGTGTGTGTGTGTGTGTGTGTGTGTGTGTGTGGTGGTTTTTCTTTTAACCGCCATATTCTACAAATGATTCTAGACGGCCCCATTCATTCACATCAGGGGACTTCTGTGATCAGGTTGGAAACAATTGAAAGATGTGCAAGACAACATAATCTGCTGATTTAAAAAACAGAATTGTTTTTAAAAAATCAACATAAGCTAAATAATCATGGTGGTGATAATAACCACATTCAACAATTCATATGTAAGTATGATATGTTAAGAATTAGTCCATCATCATCACCATCAAAGCTAACAAAAACATTGCAAATTTTGACCAGATAATTGGGACCTCAAAAAGTAATTACTACTGGAGTTACACAGTCCATAGCCATGGTTATCAGCCCCGCTACACTTAATGCTTGTTTGTTTTTTGTGTGTGATGATTATTTTTAGTCAAGAAATAATTCAAATATCATAAAATTCACCCTTTCTTTTGAGACAGAGTCTCACTCTGTCACCAGGCTGGAGTGCAATGGTGCAATCTCAGCTTGGTGCAACCTCCGCCTCCTGGGTTGAAGCGATTCTCCTGCCTCAGCCTCCTGAGTAGCTGGGACTACAGGCACATGCCACAACGCTCAGCTAATTTTTTGTATTTTTAATAGAGACGGGGTTTCACTGTGTTAGCCAGGATGGTCTCCATCTCCTGACCTCGTGATCTGTCTGCCTTGGCCTCCCAAAGTACTGGGATTACAGATGTAAGCCACCGCACCCAGCCCCAATTCACCCTTTTTAAGTGTACAATTCAGTGATTTTATTATATTCACAATGTTACACAAACATCACCACTAAGCCCACAACATTTTCATTACTCTAAAAGAAACTTGTACCCATTAGGAATCATTCCCCATTCCCTCCTTGTCCCAGTCCCTGTCCCTGGCAACCAATAATCTTCTTTCTACTTATATTCAGAACCTGCTGTACAGCAAATATTTTCCATCCCCCTTTAGACTGGCTAAATGAAATTCTGAGATCATATAACCTACCTACTGATGTAAGTTTTAGCTATGCTTATTATGTACCTATTATCATTCTGTGCATTCCACTTAATACAGTTTGTGCACTCTCCCATGTCACTAGCTATGCCTCTACAGTATCACTTTCAATGGCTGAAGGAATTCCATCAAATAGATATTGCATAGTGCATCTAACTAATCCAGTAGAGTTAGAATTTATATGTGAATACTGAGTTTTAAAAAACCTGGGAAGCAAGTTTAAACATTCTCGTTTTGCATTTCAAGAACTGATTTCAAAAAGAAGCCACAGGTATTAAATCCTTTCTTCGCATCTGTATATTTAGAGCCTCACATGGGGGTGAGACAGAGGAAAGCTGACAGTCTCTGTGTCTATCACCACACCCTGTGTCTAGAGCAATTGGGAGGCTAGCCCTTTTTTATGATAAGGAATCTGGTGGCCCATACGGTGGCAGTCCCTACATAACTTTCATTCCTTAGCGGTACTGCCCAGAGATTCTATTTTAAACGTCCCAGAATAGCTGTGTTAAAGTCAAAAATAAAGTAAGATCAAAAGAGAACTTACGTTTATCTGGCATTGTTTGTGCAGGCATCCCCTTATCCACTCACAGCTAGTCTTTGCACCATTAAACGTTACTTCAACAAAGTATAACCTTAACATTCCACCCTTACTTGCTTCTGACTTCTAGCACCAAAAATAGAGCCTTTTCTATGACTTAGGTACAGCATCTACCTGCATAGGAATTTGCATTTGCATGAAAAGAGCTGAAACCCAGCTTCTGAATCAGCCAGGATTTTATTATTTTACTTTTACTACAGAAACAGAGACTATCCTAATAAATCGTCCTTTCTTCTCCTAGCACACTTAAAAACCCATCTTTGAGCTCCACTGACTCCATTAGGTTTGAACTTTGGTATTAAGTACACAGGGAGGAAAAGAGTAGGTGTGGGGGTGAAGAGAAGGAGAACAGAGAGAAGCACAAAGACAGGAAGGAAGGGAGGCACCTTGATGCTACTGCTGTGGTTACCCCGTCACTCAAGAACAATCTCAAGAACAATGAAGCAAAAGTAGACTATGTAAAGAAGTGAACGTGTGTCAAAGACACCCCAGGCTTAACACGGGGCCACAAAAATCCATAGGAAATTCACATGCTATTTCCTAGAGTCTCCCTCACGTGAGCTCCTTTGACATCTGTTTCTGGACTCCTTGATTTAGCTTCTGTTTTAGCATTTGCACAACAGTAATTTTACTACTAAAGGTAAATGTCTTGTAAACTAATGGGAAACATATTGTTTGGCACAGTTTATAATGTCAGGATTTATGGCTCTAACACTGAGGGTCTCTCTGACCTCCAAGATAGCATAATGAAACAGCAACGTGCTGCAAATGACTCGTTGTGATTTTTTATTAGTTCTCATAATCGCCCCTTATTAATTTGTATGCACATAATAAGCACTCACCTTCACAGTCTGTCCGGCTTCGGGGCCATCCTAGAAGTAGGAAAAAAAACAACAGTGGTGAGAATAGATAGATGGTATCTCCTTTATTCAGAAATATCACCCATTAATAATTTAGATGCAATTTCATTGTGTGTTAATTTATAGAATTCCCATGGGGACCATCGGCTTCAAATGTGTGGGACTAGACAGTTCTCCATTTCCGCCTGAGAGTAAGTGAGAAGTTATGTATAAAAATGATATAAATTATCCAGCAAGCCAACTCCTTGCTACTTTTCATGCTCTTTGCTCTTGGCTATGGTTTTAATTGCATTAAGGGAAGGCTGAAAATGTTTGGGGAGGGGAAGTATCACACCTTTTGGTTATCTTTAGATGTGGTCTAATTAATGCCTGATTACTTTAAGCTTCCACTCAGGAAATGAGCTATAAACATAAGCCATTAAGCAAGAACATGGGGTATTTCATATGGGAAGCATCCTCTCTGGCTATTCTGACCTTGGGGAAGACAAATGTAGTGTTCAATCTAGTTGGACCCTTTTCCTAACCTGGTTCCCTCTCTCTGCTTCTGAAGCTTAGCTGAAAATGAGCAAACTCACCTAGTCACCAGCCATAATACAAAACAGAAGCAGATACTCAGCTGGCTGAGATGGCAGAACAAGCAATGGTTCCACAGTCAGAAATTCCGAAACAGAATTTGGCCTCTGCAACTTTAGCCAGGTCTGTCTACCTCTAGGAGCCTAACTAATGCGGTGAGAACCCGTGCCCTACTGTGGCAACCATTAAGCAGAACTGTGGGTATCAGGGATTTTCAAACTTAGAGTCACAACCCCTTTGTGGGTCATTAAGTCAGCTTAATGGGTTGCAATCAGCATTACAAACAAAACAAATCAAATTTTATTTTATTTTATTTTTGAGACAGAGTCTAACTCAGTTGGCCAGGTTAGAGTGTGATGGCATGATGGTGGCTCACTGCAGCCTTGACCTCCTGGACTCAAGTGATCCTTCTGCCTCAGTCTCCCAAGTAGCTGGGACTACAGGCATGCACCACCACGCCCAGCTAATTTTTGTATTTTTTGTAGGGACAGAGTTTTGCCACGTTGCCCAGGCTAATCTCAAACTCCTGAGCTCAAAGGATCCGCCAGCCTTGGCCTCCTAAAGTGCTGGGATTACAGGTATGAGCCACCACATCCAGCCAGAAATCAGATCTTAGTAGACTAAAACTATTAGACTGCACAGGAGTAAACATTGTTTTGTGAAACTCTGGTTTTCTTTATCAATATAGGTATTTGCATATATTTCATATATGTGTGTCAGGGGAGATATGCATGATTGTGAAATGAATATATATCTTACTGTAGGTTATAGTTAAAAAAAAAAACAAGTTTGACCACATGGCATATATGAAAGTAATCTAGGTGATATCACAAGTCAGCTCTTACATTTATGGAATTAACTTTGTAGTGAAACATGTTTCATAACCAGCAATGACCATTTCCTATAAATGTGATTTTATCTTGTATCTCACATTGACAGAGATTTTCATTCACTGCCTTAATTTGGTCTCTAGAGAAACACAGTTTGTAACATAAGCTTGATAAACCCACTCCGAGCTGAACTACCTGCCTAAAGGTGACTCAAATGGTATGGCACACAACACACACACATACAAGGCATTTGGGAGAAGTTGGCTACTCTTAACACAGACATGGCAGCAAAAAAAAAAAAAAAAAAAAATCTATTTGAGAAGAAAAGGAGCACTTTTAGTCAGAGCCTTTATAACCTGAGCACACTGGCTTTCTTTATCTGGTCTGTTTGAAGCTCTATGGTAGAGAGCTGGGGAGCGGAGTAAGAATGGCAAACATTCTGTTTAACACACAGATTGAGTACAGAGTCCTCACATTTTGATAGAGTTTCCTTTGTTTTGGGCCCGGTGGATCACAGCTGTAATCCCAGCCCTTTGGGAGGCTGAGGAGGGTGGATTACAAGGTCAGGAGTTCAAGATCAGCCTGGCCAACATGGTGAAACCCCATCTCTACTAAAAATACAAAAAAAAAATTAGCTGGGCATGGTGGCGGGTGCCTGTAATTTCATCTACTCTGGAGGCTGAGGCAGGAAAATGGTCTGAACCTGGGAGGCAGAAGTTGCAGTGAGCCAAGATCACATCACTGTACTCCAGCCTGGGCAACAGAGTGAGACTTCGTCTCAAAAAAAATAGTTTCCTTCCAAAGGGCAATTACAAAGTCATCCAATTTCAAAGCCATGAAGGACTTTTTGCATTGTTACCCCAGCCATTTCCATAGAGGTCCTGAGGGAGCTCACGGTATGTTACTATGGATTTACTCAATTATCCACTAATGACTCACCATGGACATACTTCTCCCAATCTGAGAAGTGTTGGCTCAACCTCTGCCTCCAAGTCTCCAGTGACTGGGGATCTGATTTCTTTACTGATCAGTGGGCCACACCCAACTAGTGGATCTAGCTTCTAACTAATCTGTGATTAATCTCTGTAGCGTGAATTAAAGATAGAGAAAAGGTAAGGTCCAACCTAAGTGGCATATCACTGCTACCCTGGAATTGGAGCAGGGCTTGGTCCGTGCAGTGTTCAAAAATTATTTACCATGGAATGAAAATGGTTTCTCCAGTCCCGGTTCCAGTAAGCAATCTGTAATGTCTGAATGTCCATTAAATCACTTATCCATTACTCCCACCTGCTTGTTAAACAAGCCTCAGACATCATCTTGGACACTATTCCACAGTCCACCTTGGGGCTCATGGATAGTAGGGCTAGCCTGCATTAGTAATGTCTTTTTTGGCTGCTACATGAAATACAAATAATCACATCTGCCCTCCTGGTGAGATGTTAGGAGGAGCAAGCCCAATGCTGGGATTTGAAAAGGAAGAAAAATCATTTCTGAATATTCTGTACACTCACCTGCATGGAAAATGTGAGAGAGGTCCCGTGGAAATGTTTCTCCACCACTGTCCCAACTCTCTGGGTTGCCTGAAACAAATCAGCCACTTCATCAGGACGCAGGTCGTGGAAGCGTTCCACTGGCCGCAGCGGACACACGAGGACATCTGTAGCAAGGTCTGTTAAGGGCCATGCTGCTGGTTTTGGGTAGTGTTCTTACCAAGAAGTTTATACCCACAGGAATGAATCCCCTTGGACCAGAGCCTGAACTGTCAAAGACTAAGGAATGAAGAAACAAATATTTACCACCCATTGAACTCCAAAGAGTTCAAAGAAAGCTTACAGACATGGTTAATTATACTTTGAAGGAGAAGCTGTGGTACACAGAAGAATTTCTTATAAGAGAAAGGGTCATTAGTGTTCAGAGACACTCAAGTGTGTGGAGAGAGAATTATGTCAGGAGGCAAGATCTATTCGATCATTATCTCCTGACCCCTATTCTAAAACTATGTCCTCCTCAGCACCCAAAAGCACTAGGTTCAAGAAGGAACTGGAATATACAGTTGGTTTCTCTAGGTAGAATATGGTGATAAATTTTTAATTTAAATTATCTCTTTAGAAAAATAAGAGAACTATGCAGTGAACATACAAAAGTAGATGTTTATTTTATTTTTAAAAGAGTGTAGACATTCTGAAAATACATAGTCAACATTATCTATAGCTAAGAGTTGTGCCATGTGGTTAAAGAATTTATGACAAGGGTTCCTCAGACTGATTTTTTTTTTATAATCCAAGAAGACATTTGAAGGTAAATCATGAAGGAAAGAGGCTGTCTGGTTATGTGATACTGTGCTGACCTAGAGCCAGAACCTGAGCAACGCCATTTTATAAGATAAAGCTGTGTTTGGCTTCTGTAAATAAACCTGCTAGCTTGCTCTGAAAAATGCCCACTATGTAAAGCTGCTTAAACTTTGCTTATCAGTAACTGTTCTCTGTGGCCCTAATGTGACAAGCAAGCAGTCCTAACCCACGCCATCTTGGCTCCCCCGACTTGTAATAAGTAACTAAGGTCTGTGATTTCCACCTTACCCAGATAATGTGTAAACAAATGTTTATCTTGACTTCTGTAAACCACTTAAGTAACAAACGGAATGACAAAAGTCCCCTGCCCCTTGGAATATCAGGAGCCCTCGTCTCCGCCCAGGAGGTGATTTACAGAATCCCCTGGCCCTAGGAATGTCTGAAGTCTTTTCATCCCCATCCTCGCTCCTCACCCCCACTCCCAAGGTGGTTTTTCGGGTGTAAAAAGTCTTGGCACCCTCCTTTCGACACCACAGGTTGGAGAGACGTGAGTCCTCTGTGGTTGCCGGCGATAAAGACCCTGCAATCTGGCATACGTTTGTCTTGGTGTTAATTTCTACGCTCGGTCCAGTATAACAGTTATACAAGCAAACCATTCTTAATGTATTCTACAACTTAGAAAAGGCAACATATTTACATTATTGGTCTCAGAAAACAATGAAATCTAGAGAAAAAAGGATAGAAATTTGATTATTTCTTGATAGCAAATTAATATTCACTGTTACACAATCAATAACATTTCAATTCCTATACACATATGTATGAAATGTGTGTATATATTAATATTTGTTTAGATTTTAGATACTAACAAGAGAAACAAACTCTTGTACGTTTTTCTGTTTCTTTCTTCTACTTGTTTTAAGACAGCATGCTCCTGCCTGGAGCTAAGCAGCTAAGGGGCACAATAAAACCCCTGCATAATACTGCAATTGCTGGTCTCACTAGAATATCAACCCCACTCTACTACTGGTAGAACTCAGAGCCCAAGGGGAAATACACTGAGCTCAGCTGGTGAGGGCTGATTTCCATAAGCGAAATGGGAAAAGAAAGAGGAAACTGATTAGTTTTGCTCATAATCAGGAAATTCATGTCAATGGTAAACTAGGATAAGAAGTATTTTTAAAATCGGAGTTCATTTTTCAACACAGGAGAAGGGAGGCCTTCACCCAGAGGGCATCTGATACTTAAAAAGATAATTATCTGTCTTTGGCAGGCCTGCTTTATTATCATGGGTCAATGAACCATTTAGAAATGAAGAATTTCCTTTTCATTTCCTTTGAGTAGATTTCCAGCCTCCACTCCCAGGAAGTTGCTTTTTCTGTGTTAAAAGGGACTCTTCCCCATCTTCCTCCTCCCTGCCTTAAATTACACCCTCCCTTACGCCTGACTTTACCAAACCACAGCAAGGATGACAACCATGCAAGCTTCCAGCAATATCCATAAGAGCTGTATTAGCCTACGTCCACACACAGCAGCTCCGTGAGAAAGGAAGACATTTCACCAACACAATGGCTCCCTGTGAAAACTGGTGGAATGAATCAGACAGCTTTTGTATCTAACGTGAATTTAGTAATATCAATGGCATCCCAAAGTTTTTTTTTTTAAATGCCATAAAAAAACTTATTATTTGTCAATTTTGCTTGTTTGTGTGCTGCTCCTAGAAAAACAACTCAGAGAAGGCAAACGATTTCAGCAGATAGCTTTTGTAATTCTAATGCCACTGTTTATATGCCAATTGCTTTAAATTGGTATCACAGATGCAATATAATTTAATTTGGAGCCTCTTAGGCCTTGTTAATGGCTAAATTCCATATTATCCATAGACTATAAGGACACATCTACTTCTGGGTCCTGTTTGCTTGAGATTATCACGTCTGTTAAGATTTCTTAGACAACATGTAGGATAACTTTCAATTAAACTTACTGTGTAGAATTTAATAAATGTTTTATCCAGTACACATCGTGTGTGAAAACTTGTGACACTGGTTACCACTTCTCCCTACGATCTACAGTAGAGACCTTTTTTTAGTAACAATACTTTGTAAAGGAAGAGAAGGTCAATAGTTACAATTTAGGTTGTACAGTTGACAAGGAGATTTCTCACAGTAGATGAAAACCAAAGACAGCTTCTTAGAGCAGATGAGATTTAAACTAAACTTTAAAAATGGGGAGTGATTCAGCCAGTGGACTGGGCTGGCAACCTATTCACACATCCATCCCCACAGCGGAGTCTCCTCTTAATCTGGGGTCTGTGCTGAGACTTAGGATGCTAAGATCGCTAGGCCAGGGTAGCTGACATTGAAGAGTTCACACTCTAATGTCCCAAACCGTCATACAGTAGAAACAGATCATTCCAACAGAGAGAGGTGAATGCTGTTGGTAGGCATCAGTACAGAATGCTGTGGGAGCACAGAGGAGGCCAGATCTAACTCTGCCTCAGGGTGACAGATAAACCTTTCCATCTTATCTTGCATTTCGCCTTTTAAAGTAGAACCATTTCTCCACATCTAGACCAAAATCTGTCCTTGAAAATGGTCTAGCAGTTTAAGGTTAACTTCAAAGAAAGTTGGTAAGCATTCTTTCTTTGGCCCAAATCACCATTTCACTTTTTTTTTTTTTTTTTTTTTTTTTTGGAGACGGAGTTTCGCTCTTGTTGCCCAGGCTGGAGTGCAGTGGCGCGATCTCGGCTCACCACAACCTCCACCTCCTGGGTTCAAGCAATTCTTCTGCCTCAGCCTCCCAAGTAGCTGGGACTACAGGTGCGTGCCACCACGCCCAGGTAACTTTTGTATTTTTAGTAGAGACGGGATTTCACCATGTTGACCGGGATGGTCTTGATATCCTGACCTCATGATCTGCCTGCCTCGGCCTCCCAAAGTGCTGGGATTATAGGTGTGAGCCACCATACCTGGCCATCACTTTCATATATACTCATATTTACTCCATCTTTCCAACAAACCCACGAACTATTAATGTTATTACAATTCTCCTGTTGAAGATGAATTATAAGCAGTAATTTCTTATACAAAATTAGAAACTTGCCAGGCCAGCACACTCAAAATGAGATTAAAACTAGAATTCAACCCAAGTCTGTCTGATTCTAAGGCTCATGTTATTAATGACAGTGCTGTGATGTTATGCTTTTTAGAGCATTCATGGCTCCATTTCTGCCTATCCTCTTATTAAAATTGTGCCCTGAATTCCCCAGAGTTACTCTGTTCATAGAAGGGAACCACAGTTTTATAAAATAGAAGGATACCATGCAAACATGATAAAGGCTTGAGAAACACATAACCTTGGAAAAAGAAAGCTGATGAGACCTGCAATGCCACACTGGTAGGATGCCTCAGCACTGGGCAGTGAGTACGCCTTCATCCTAACAGAGAAATGGAAGAAGATCAAAAATGAGAGGACCAGCTTGCCTGAGTTGGAAGTAGTAAAGAGAGACACAAAATTGGCATTTTGGTCATTCTTCATCCTGACTTGAGGTTGCTTCAAGGTGACTTGGGCCCCATCATAGGCCAGACTCCTGAGAATGTTTAGATACTGTAGCCTCTATCACTGGGTCAGGTTGTCAGACACACTGAATCTACTGCTTGTTGGACAGTCTAAATACTGAGAATTATGGACTTTCTCACTGGTGTGGTTTGCTATTTGCAAACATAACCACAAGAATTTCTCCCATACTACATGCCCTTTTGCTATGTGATTTTACCACTCTTTCCATCAAGCGTTGCAGTCTATTTCTCCTCCCCTTGAATCTGGGCTGGCCTTGAGACTTGCTCTAACCAGTGGAATATTGTGAAAGTGTTTGTCTTACTTTGTGTTTGTGTTGCTGTAAAAGAATAGCTGAAGCTGGGTAATTTCTAAAGAAAAGAGGTCTATCTGGCTAACAGTTTTGAAGGCTGTCCAAGAAGCATGATGCTGGCATCTGCATTTGGTGAAGGCCTCAAGCTGCTTCCATTCATGGGAGAAGTGGAAAGGGAGACAGTCTGCCTTTCCATCAGACAGATCTGATGGTGAGAAAGGAGGCAAGAGAGATAGGAGGGAGGTGCCAGACCCTTTTCAACAACCAGCTCTTGTGGGAACTAACAGAGCAGAAGAAAACTCACTGGTTACCACAAAGGTGGCATCGAATGATTTATGAAAGATCTGCCTCCATGACCCAAACACTTTCCAACAGACCCTACCTCCAACATCAGGGATCAAATTTCAACATGAGGTTAGCAGGGTCAAATAGCCAATCTATAGCAGTGATGCTGCGCGACTTTCCAAGGTTACGCCTTAAGCAACATTGAAACTTCTG